TTAAAGATCATTATTGAAAAGGAGAAAAGATTATTACATTATAGATAACCCGATATACTCTACAATCTGATCAGATCCAAAACGATTTTAACACAAAATTTTTATTAATCTAGACCGCCACTATATGAAGGCTTAAGGTGATTTCTCATGTATATATTCGATAGGCTATAATCTAGTAGTTTTTGATGATAACAACGTAATTGATTAGTTGAAATTACTCTTTCGTCAGTAGACGCTTGAGAAACATACTTCTCCTATCATGAAAACATTCAAATAATCCAAAAGAATCAGTCTCTAAAATAGATTTTTCAAATATTAACGGATTTTAATAATGATTGCTATAAGTTCACTCGTAGTCGAAATAATTTTGATTTCATACAAATACAATATGTACGATTCTATTCATCATAGTTTAGATAAAAACATAAATATAGTATTAGACTTATATCAACACAAGGAAGATACAAGTGATGATATATTCATGTCAATCAATAAGTAATAAGCTTAATACAAAATTTTAACATGAAAAATCTCTTAAGGATACTTCGCCTTCATTCTATGATTTCTGAAGAACGACTCAATAGAAAAATTTTGAAATTTTTACAGCAGATAGAACGAAATTTGTCATAGACTCAAACCTTCTAAATATTGTCTTGTATTTTTAAACATTTAAAAACAATTTTTTTATCCCGAAATGTTTAATTAAATAATTATTTAAAATTTTAAATATACCTAAAACATTTCTTGATCTTTCACTATGAAATTCTTCTTGTGTTTCTTCAATAATTTCATTAGTCGATAAAGTAATATCTTCTTTTTCTTGTGTTGCTTCATCTAAATAAAAGAAAAAATTATTAAATCTTATCAAAAAAAAAACTCTTTTCTTACCATAACATATTTTCTCTACTAATTCATCAAGAATTTCATGGACAACTAAAATGTATTTCTTTTTAATGTAATAATACAAAATATTAAAAAAAAAAAAAAAAAATAATAATTTTACCTATTGGTACATTTTCTTGTTCAATATTATTCGATGATATTGTTGTTGATTCTTCTTGATATTGTTTTCGTCGTTCACTTAATAAAACCTTGAACAAATAGATTTTATTCATTAAGCAAAAACAAAAAACAAAAATTTTCTTTTTCAACCATTTTTTGTTCCATTTTTGAAAATATTCCATTTAACATTTGTGATAAACATCCTTGTGCTGTTGCTTCATTAATTTTCGAACGACTCGTCAAATAAATATTAAAACATGTTTTTATTATTTGTAAAACACTACGTTGATGAATTTCAATTATTTGAGATGTCATTATAGTTAAAAGTGCCTAAAAAAAAACAAAATTACACATGTCTTTTTAGTTTTTCTTGATAATAAAATTAAAAAGCAAACTTTAATTATTTGTAATTCAACTTGTTCTTCTGTTTGTACACCACGAAAACACATACATATTGTTGATACAATTCGATCAATTAATAATTTTGATGGATCAATTGGATCGACAACACTTCCAAGTAGATGTCCATGTAAAATAAGTTTCTATTTAACAAAAAAAGATCAAATGAAATTAAATTAAATAGAAAAATTGTTTACTTGAAGACAATCAAGTGAAGTATCAACCATTCGATGATGATTTGATGCACAAGCTAATTCAAATGGAAGAAAATATTTTTCAGCATTAATTGATTGTTGATCTGTTGATGGTAAAATAGACGATTCACTTATTCTAAATTGAATAAATGAAAGAAAAAGAAAAGATGTTTAATTTTTGATCTTACTGAGATGTTTGAATATCTTTTGTTATTGATGTTAATGCTGTTTCACAAGCTCGTTTTAATTGTTGATGTTGAGATTTTTTAATATCTTTTTCATTTAATAATTTTTCAAGTGCACGTTTAAGAAACATAGTTTTACTATCGATTATTAATATATCTTCGTCTTTGGCTTTTTTTTGAGGCATTGAATAAAAAAAATAGAGTAAGTCGATTGAGAGCTTAGCAATGAAACATTGACAATAGCATCTAACAAAAAGAAAAATCAAACAAAATGAATTTCTTTTTTTTTCAAGGTGACACATCAATTCTCTTTGCTTTTTTTTTTCTTTCTTTCATCAAGTATTTGTTCTTATTTATTTTTTTTCTTTCTCTCATCCTATTCTGATCATTGAAATGAATAGATATAACGTTAATATGTTTGGAAAATATTGACCAATCCCTGATTGCAATCACATAAAGAAATTTAATAGATGGAGCTGATTACCAGTTGATTTAGGTACACATAATTGAGATTAATATTCAAATAAAAATATAATATAGGCAATGTAAAGTTTTTTTCTCTTTCTCTGTAATATCAATTAAGTATTATCTCTTAGAATATATGGAATGTAGAAAATCATTTATATTGAAGTACAAAATTAGAAAAAAAATCTATTATAAATGTATGCGCATACATTTTTTTTACGCCAGAATAAATTATTAAGCGAACAAATATTTATCAAATGCAATAAAAAAACATAGACAAATTATTAACAATTAGAAAACTTTGCTGTAATTGAAATTTATCATACATGACATTTTGATGGACACTAGCACATTTAGTATTTCACGAAGAATAGGAAATTTTTATTAAAAGAACATCTATCTGACACTAGCATGACTGGAAAAAAGCACATTTTCTAAGAGAGCACAATCATTACATGATCATAAATCAATATTAAGGATAACATATTTAATGTTTAAGAGAGGACAATAGTAAATGTATTATGGACTACAAGAAATCACGTGAGTACTAGATCGAAATTTTAGGAATAAAAATTCAGAAAGTATTTATCCAATGCTTACGTACATATTTATTGTCTCTTTTTATTCAAATATGTTTTGTTCTATTATCATTTTATGGGCAAACTGTTAGTGACACAGTATTTTTGCGTCTTCAACTCACTTTTACTCTTATTCGTATCCTTGACCTCATCATTTACGTTTGAATCTAGTTCAGTTTAACACGTGAGACTTATATAATGTCAATAATCTCAAAGCTCTGTACTATAGAATGATTATAGTAGTTTAACGAAGAGTGCATTCATTGTTGAAAAGAGTTAATTTCAAACCTATAATTATACTCATAAAACACAAAAAATTCAGAATTTTTCGTACCATTTCGAAAGATCTGGCAATTCTGATATCAATGCAATTTCGTTTTTGATTGATTATAATATTATCTCATTTAATTATAGAAGAATTGTAGAAAATGATGTAATGATTGATATCAAATAGACTCATAAGATTACCCTGTCAATATTGTCTAGATAAATATTTCTTCATAAGAACATTTTGATGAAATTACAATTTCCAATAACACCAAAAAAAAAAAAATTGATGATATCATAAAATAAGAATGTTACCATCATTATTAATATCAATGAGATGCAAGTATTTAAGTTTATTGTACTAGCTGTAATCTATGAAGTGCTATCTATTGGACTCGTTGAGAACATAGTTATCTAGGTAAAAAAAAGTAGTTATCTTCATTATTCTTTTGATATCAGTTGTAGTTTTGATTGATGTATTCATCAGACTATCAAGTCTAATAAATCATTTAGTAATCAAAATCTTATTTATAATTTACAAGATGACTATTATCTGTATCATCTACTATAGAAACGAAGAAAATTTACTAGAAAAAAAGAAACAAAATTCTATATAATGTAATCGACTAGATAGGTAATTTTTGTTTGCTCAGCATTGACATATGAGAACATAATCACCTGAATCATGTCTAAATAAAAATGTCCTTAAAATAGAGCATCGTTTTTATGCATTTTTTTTTTTGAAAGTTTTGCAAAGATGACGGGTTATAAAATCATTTTCTCTCATTTAATATCAGACAGAAGGACATCTCGAACTCCGCTCTTTCGATCAGAGAAAAACCGAAGGTCGATAGCTGTTGCTATTGTTGAATTATTTCGCTTACATGCACTCTTCTTTTATTCAGTCAACTTATGAATTCATAATATTAAGTGTTCCATGACGAACTTAAATCGTGATATTCAATTTTTTAAGGTAATTAATTACGATATAGGAATATAATAATGCAAGAACTGTTTGCATCCATCTTTGTATATAATCATTTGATTTTCCGGCAAAATGATTTTCTAAAATCTCATCAAAAGTTATTGACGATACTAAGACATTTATCTTAGTATCCAATTGAAAAAAAAAATGACTTTCGTATTCGAAAAATGATTTATATGCATATAAAATGCCAAATGATTACGTCTGCTAATATACCATTTAATGATTTGTTTGTGTTTGATACAAAACACAACTATTGTTATTATTATCATTCGATCGGAAGCATATATCTAAATTAAGTCTAATGAGTTATATATTTAGGATAATTAATTACTTTTCGTGCGTATGGTATGCATATACTGATAATTTATAAATTTTGATCAACGATTATATATAAACGATGAATGCAAATAGTTCTTGTATTATAATTTTCCTATACCAAAATTGTGTGCCTTAAAAAAGTTGAATATTTTTATAATTATCAACAGAGGTCATTAACATACAATATATTTAGATAATTAACTATTGTTTTCATTCAATTGTTTTTATACTTTAAAAAATGAAAGGTAAATCAATTAGGAAAGAATTATCTTTGCTGTTTTTTAAACAAAAAAAAATAAAATTAATTATATTATTTTTAACTGACTAATCTGATTGATGACTAAGCACTTTGTAACTTAATCAAATACGGAAAAACCCAACGTGTGAGTTGTAAAAGGATATAAATAATAATATTTTCCGTAAATAAAAACAATGTTTTGTTTTCAAATATCTATTTTTTCAATCAAGTTACAAATGAATCATTGTCAAATTATGTTTTTTTTCTTTTATTATGATTCATTAACTGATCAAATCATTCTAAAAAGTAAACAAAAATATAACTGTTTTTTTGCGTCATTACATTTTAGAGTATTTATATTCATAAATGGACGCAAGTGTTGACTCAACTTCTTGTACATCAGACACAACCGGAACGTTGATTATAAATTTGTTTTCAGACGAAATCAATAAACAAGATGTTAATGGACTACTTCATGCTCAAAATTTATTGTATATTTATTAATTTTCTTTCTATTAAAAAGAACATAATTATTTTTGAATATTTTTTTTTTCTTAATTAGACTTGAACAATTGGATAAAACAAATGAAAAATTAGATGGAATTAATAAATTATCAGCTGAACGTTATTTAGATGCAACAAAAGAATTTGCAAATCATACACAAATGTTAGCAAGTATGAAAAGAGATCTAGATTTAATTTTTAAACGAATCAAGTATGAACAAAAAGATAATTAAAATACTCATTGAATTAGAAATCATTGTCTGTTTTAGATTACTTAAAATGCGATTGAATAAAAAATATCCGGAGTCTTATGCGTCTGGTAAAATAAAATGCTTTATTCTTGCAAGACCAAAATATATTTTTTTTCAGTCAGTGAATTAAATACAAAATATGATGGATCTTTTGATAACGAAGAAGATGATGGTTTAGCTTCAGCAATAGTATATAGTTATCAGCTATTCTATGTTAAAAGTTACTTTATTTTGTTTTGTTTATATAGAAACCTATTAATAGCTCATCTCTTGTTAAATCAAAAACAGTTGACTGTTCTGAATTATCATCATCAATGCGTGAAACGCATACTTTATCTCAAATAAATGACAATACTGCCGAACAATCACCGAGTTCATTTGATGCTGTACGACGATTTGTCTTTAATAAATCATCAGCTGGACAAGATCTGACAACATTATTTAAAAATGCTCGTAACGAATTACGGAAAATTAATGAAGGTTTTCTTGGTGGCAATAACCAAAAACAATCGACATCACATGAAGAATAGGCTATTTTTTCTTTTGTCTATATCAAAATTTTCTTTTTTTGTTTTTCTTATTGTATATTAATGTCAGATTAAATTAAATTAAATTAATCATATTTGTATTTTTGTTTTAGATAATATTTTAATTAACAATAAGAAACGATTGATTTATTTGTAGTAAGTTGAAGTTTTACAATTTTTTTATTCAGCTAAAAAAATCACACGGATAGGCGCTATATATTACAAAAAGTAAACATTAGGTTTTTAATAACTATACGATATTTCTCATTTTGACTTGTTAGATATGATAATTGATATTTAATTGCAGTAGTAAAACAATTATTTCATGTTTGATTTCAAATTGGTTCATGAAATGAATTTATTTCGAGACTTAAAATATTCGATATCTCATTTAATTTAATCCGATCACAAGAAAATCTTTATTTTGACATAAAACTTCTGTTTAGATATTATTTTGACCAAGGTTAAGTCTAAGCGAACCTGAGAAAGGATTTGATCATCACAACATTCATAGGAAAAGAAAGATGATTATAATATATATATATATATGATCAACTCTTTATATGAGAATAGTTTAATCATAATTCTTCAGAGAAGGTACATGCCCTTGAATGGTTTTTTTTTTTATTACTTGTCCCGCGAGTACATTTAAAAGCTTTCATCTTTTTTTTTTCCAGTAACAATAATAAATTGCTTATGGCTACTGCTTCAAATATTGATGATCTTCTTCAATGTCCAATATGTTTGGATATATTACATGATCCAAAAGTTCTCGATTGCCAACATACATTTTGTGCAAATTGTTTAAAAGTACATCATGCATCATCATCACGTAGATCAGGATCTTCAAATACTATTGATTGTAAGTTTTTGTTCTTTTTGAAATCATTAATGTTTTTCTCATTACTTTTCTTTTTCTTTTGAACAAAAACAAAAAAAAATCAATAGGTCCGACATGTCGTTTACGATCAAATTTAATAAATAATTCAATTGATAGTCTTCCGGGAAATTATATTGTACGTGATATAATTGAACGACAATATGGGGCGATAACACCTGATCGTCCACCTGGTTATGCACAACAAATTCAAGATCGTATACAAAAAATGAAAAAAGAAGACGAAACTGAGTCTGATTTTGGAAAATATATAAAACCAGCAGCTGCTGCTCTACTTGGTGTCCTTGGTGGCTTACTTTTGGCTAAAGGCGTGAAAAAAATGTGTAATGATGATAAAAAATGAAATGAAAATAAAAAAAACTAATTGAATATATTTATTTTCGCTTTTGCTTCTTTTTATGATTTGAAAATAATAAAACGAATATTTAATTGATCATGTAAACTAAAAAGTTAAAGTATCTTCTTTTTTTTTAATACGCTGTCAATTGTAACGGGTAAATGAAATATGTTTTGATAAGAAAAAAACAAATTGATGAAAAATAAAAAAAAGTAATTTTTTTTGAGAAGTACAACTCTTAATCTTGACTATTTTTATTTATTCAAAAAGAGATTAAAAAAACATGAAGTTTGTTTTCGAATGTAAAAGTACACGTATTAACACGAAAAAATTTATATACACGATTATGAGAAATTAACAAGAAAATGCTCGAAAATTTCAAGATTTAAAAAGACAAATATTGTCACATGTAAGTATTTGAATAGATATACTATCAGTGAGGAATTGCATCGAATGATCGTTCTATATAATCGATTAGATCAGAATAGGTAAGTATTCAAAAGTTTTTTATTTTACTTATCATTCATATTGATATAAATATTTTCACTGTAATAATGTCTAATTGTACCTTACATAAAAAATAGATCCTTTAAGTGTAGACAACATTGTTTTATATTTTAGTCGTTATATTTAGATCAGAATCTAGATGTGACTGAAATTATATGTTGGTCACAATCATTTTTTGTACTCAATCATACTTGATAATATCGTAATTATTGGTATGTTCAAGGGTACTCAATAATATATGTATAGCAAGGATTATTAAGATAAAAAAAAAATAATAAAAATTCTATTTCACAATAAACTACATAAACCAGTTAGTTTATTGAAAAAATAATTGAAATTTTTTCTAATGTCAACATAGTTCGAAGTGTCTATGGTTGATCACGAGAATACATCGGAATGTAGAAAAGAACAATATGATTATTACACAATTGATCCTATAAAATTGTCCATGAAATAGTAAATTAAAACTCGAAATATCAATACTATAACCTTGAAAGAAAAAAAAATCAAATTTCTTTTTTTCACCTGTATATTTTACACGTAATCGAATCGACTTGTCCTTCTTAACATATTATTCAATTCTGATGATGACAACACATAAATGTTTTCATTTGATTGAAAAAAAGTGAATAGAAATTTTTTTTTTCTCCTCTTCATTTTTATTTAGTCTATGAAATATTTAGCCTTCAATGGATTCATTTTTATTGTAGATGTTAATGATATTTTATCAGCAACATTTTTATTATTTACCTCTCATTGGAGAATTGTAAACAAGGCTATTTTTTTTCATTTTCATCAACTGAAAAGAGAAGAAAGACAATAACATATTTATGAAGAAAATATTCAAATAATACGATAGAGATGTTGTACATTTTCAATTCATTTTAATAATGAGATGATTGTGTCTGGAAATTATTATTCTATTGACAGGTAAGCAACAGATGAAATGAACAATTTTCATTTGTACATAGAAAATGTTATGCTAACAGTCTGTAGTCTGTTTGCTCATATTAATATAACCGCAAAAGTCATTTAACTTTCCCTTTTTTTTTTTTTTAATCCATATTATAGTAGTTCTGTGTACTATAATTCTTTCTTTTCGTTTTATACATACCGATCCACATTAGACGAGGCTTCTTCAACAAACAACACATACATATGCACACATCGAAGTGTGTCTGCAATTGCAAATCTAAGCGTGAAAGAACAGGAGAGAGAGACAGCGAAAGAGAGAGAAAAATTGTCGCGACGATGTGCTGTTGCATACAAGTTGAGTTCAAATCATATTCTCGTTTGTTCTTCTTTTTCTCTTACTATAATATTTTGTACTGTTGTTCAGCGAGAGTGAAGAAGAAAGGCACAAAAAAAGTCTACATGTGTGCACAATAGTTCAGGAAAAAAAAAAAAAAGATTGCTCACTCATTCAAAATGAGGTGACAATATGTCAGCATATGTATATGTGCAATTCGGTGTCGATTAACTTAAGTATAAACGAGCACAGCACGATAGAAATGTGTCCATTACTAAAATGAAACTTGTAAAAAAAAAAAGAGTAATAACATTTAGAATCCTTTCTCTTTCTCTTTCTTTTCTTTTTTTAGATATTCTTTTAAAATACAATGTCTTTGAATGCACGCGATAAAATAATTATAACAATAATATTTAGTATTGTTGGTCTCATATGTATTTTATTAATTATTTGCTTTACAATTTGGTTTATTATTCGTCATTATCGTTTGAAAATTAAACGTATGAATTCAAATGAAGAAAATAATTCACCTCCTATTACATCATATCATCGACAACAATATCAACATACAAAAAAATTTCCTTCAATTAAATTAAATAATAATCATAATAATATTGCTATTAATAAAAGAAAAACAAAGAAAAGAAGATTTAATACAAATGATTCAGCTTTGACATTATCATTTGATCCACCACATTTAATTAATCAAAATGTGAAAAACTTAGATAAATTACTTAGTACTGAATCAACATTAACAGCTAATTCATGGCATTATGAAGAAACCTTACCAAGAAAATCTAGGTAAAAACAAATAAATTATTATTATAAACAAAAGAATTTTTCTTTATAAAAATAATTTTATTTGTTTTATGTATTTAGTTGTTATAAAAATCCATTGAATGAACCTGTTTATGCTTCATCATCAACTGTATTAACAGCAGTTTCGAATTTAGCAGTTACTCCAGAAAATCTAAACAATCCACACTATCGTTTTCTACATGAACTTGATCATGTATTACGTTTAAAACAAGAAGAACGTATAAAACATTCATTAAAATATAGTCAAAGTTGTCGTCAAACAACCGATTTATTACCATTTGATTACTATCGTTCAATATCGCCACCATCAACAATAATAGAAACAAATTCAAGTAATCAGAATTCACTTGAACCTATATATATTCGTACAAATAAATGTTCAAATTTAACATTAATGCGTAAAGCTCGATTAGCACAATTACGAGATGATACAGCTATTTTATATTGAATAAATGACAAAATAATTTTGAAGTTTATTCTTCTTTTTTTCTTTTTCTTTTAAAAAATTATTTTTTGTTTAAATTTTTAAATACACTTTTTTTTATCTCACGTATGACAATAAATATAGATATGATGAAATTTATATAAATGAAATTTTCTTCATTGTTCTTCTCAATAAAGAAAAATATTAAATGACAAAATATATTTATTTTCTTGTGTTTGCTTTTTTCATTGTTATATATAGACGTGTGTACAGTATTGTTAAAAAGATTATATTCATATTTATATTACTACAATTAAATGAAAATTTTCATAAATTCGAAACATATGATTTTTATTGTTAAACATGTTCAATAGTGTTAAATCGAAAGAATTAAATTCAATTATTGAAGACATTTTTTTTAGATATTCTGCTACTCTTCCATGTGTATAATTCTTTTTTTTTTATGACACACTCAACAAGGAAATAGCTTTTGTGTGTATATGTTTCCGTGAATATCTGACATTCAATTATTGAATTCAAACTTTACATTAGACATATTTGCAGATGTTGTAATCAATGATATTTTATCGTATATTTGAGTAAATTTTGCCTTGAAAAAGATTATTAGCAGTCTCTTCGATAGAACATTTATTGATTCAATTGATCATGTTAAGTAGTTTATTGCTTGTATACGTAGTGAATGAGTTTCGTGTGTTCTTGCTTTTTTTTTATTCTATGTATTTATTCAGATAGGTTAATATTTCTTTTAATCTAGTTCTGTCTTCGAATGTTTGTTAACTCAAAGCAATCTATTTGCATCCAATCTTTTTTTTGAAAAGATGCAATCAAGTTATTGATCTATCAAAAATCCTTTGAAAAGTAGAAAAATTATATTAAAATAGATCATTCGAAAAAAATTCCGATTATATTCTTCTGACAAAATAAACTTATCTCTATTATTTTGGATTGTCATCTATTTTAATCTTACATTTGAATTTTCCTTTTTTTTAAATTAATGCAATGAATTTGATCGCTTTTTTTCACTCTAAACTTACTATTTGAGACTACACATCTTGATTGCGAACATTTTCTTTTTGGTCAATGAACCCTGTGACTGCGGGTTACACAAATATATGCGTCATAATAATTTCATGGTATATTGACACTCATAAAATCATAAATGATATCAATCTGGGTGTGGGCGTCTTGTTTGCAGTTCACACCCCATACTCATCCATATTTTAGTTTCGTTTTATTTTACTCCAAAAATGATAATTTTTCACTATTACTCTATCATATCCAGATGCAACGATAATTATAGACAAGTTATCATAATTCATGATTAATATTTCTATTTCGTCTTTTGACTTCATCGCTGTCACTTTAAATAATTACGTTAAGACCACATGTTACAAAAAACGATCTAGACGACACGTGACATCAAACTAGAAATTTGGTGATAAAATAAACAATTTTCATCTGCTATCATAATAAAGAACAAAGTCTAATTCTCTTTTTCATTCGTATATTTGAAGAAAGTTACAGAGAAATTGATTGACTTAACATACACAAAGGTCATATAAGCAACTAACTTTTATTAATCATCAGTTAAAAGAAATAATTTTCTTTTGAAAAAGTAGTGAATTGTATATTTAAATAAAAGAAGAAATTATTTCGATAGTTTCTCCTGTTTCCATAATACGAACATGTTTATCTCTTGTGCTTCATTCTGCTTTACGGACATGTTTTTTTTACCTTCAATTAAGAAGACATGTTGTTTAATCATATAAAAAATAAATCAAGATTCAGTATGATTGTTTTGCTTATTTCTAAAATTAAATTTAACTATTAAAATTTACGTACAATCGTATCACTGAATGATAAAAATAATAATACTGTTTATATGTTAAATTTGATTTATTTAAATAAATAAATTATAAATTTCTCAATTACATATTAATAGTTCATCGTTTGAAGTTTAAAAATAAATCTTTTTATCATTCGAAAGCTTTACAATGAATTGCTAAATAAAACAATCCACAAATTGTACAATGTTCATCTTGACAGTTAACGTAACAATATTATACAAATTCTTGATATATAAAAATCAGTATATATATCTGTAGTGATTATTTACTTTGAATTAATAAATCTAGTGAGAGAACTTCTTCAGGTATCGAATTGCTTTTCAAATGAGACAATGTTCATTTGATGAGTAATAGAGAAGTCAAGAATGGTTTGCTTTTTCTGGGTCTTCGTTTTCGAGATATCGAAATTTTACTGAGTTCTTCAACAAAAAACTATGATCACGTGACAAATTCACTTTCAACATCAAACTTTGCACGAATAAAGGTCTTAATGAGATTAGTTCATTGTACAACTAGTATTACCTTTCTGGAGATGTGAATATATGAAAAATATTTTCTTTTACACATGAGAGAATTTCAAATATTGAATATTTCAGGATGGAAAATACTAGAGGAATTACAACTTCTTCAATGAACTAATCTCATTGAGAACTTTATTTGCGCAAAGTTAGAGGTCGAAAGTCAATTTTTCACGTGACGACAGCTTTTTATTGAAAAATCCAGTAAAATTTCAATATCTCAAGAACGAAGGCTCGGAAACCTAAATCATTCTAGACTTTTCTATTACCTATGAATACTCATCAAATAAATATTATCGAGGCCGAAAAATGATTTGACATCTAGAATGGTTCTCTATACGTGCCTATCTTGAGAAAATACAACTCTTTGTCTTTATTTTTATTGTTCCATATTTCATCATTTTAAATTTGTTTCATATTGTAAAATAAATATTCATGTTATTGAATGTTTAAAGATGATCATATATTTGATGTAATTCTTCTAAGAAACAGAGAATAAAAATTCTCGATGATCAGACAAATAATGTATTTAATATTTATTTAGCTCGACATAGACATTTAGTTAATTCATCATCTCTCCCAATTAGAAACGATCGAATCACTTGTCAACATAAGTCTATGTTTGATTGTAAAACATGTTAAGTCAAATCTTTCATAATATCTCAATGAATAAATGAAAAAGATCATCAATATATATATATATATAGAACAAAAGAACAATCAAAATTTTATAATTTGTTATTTAGCACGTTTTATAATAAATGAAAATAAAGACAGGAAAAAATCTTGAATAAAAATGTCTTTGTTAATATAAAGAAGGTAAGAATGTAGAAAGTTATTCAACGTTTTTTTTTTTTTCGTATTATTCACAATTACTTATCGACCGACAATAAAGTAAGATATTTATTTAGAGCTTTATGCTGCTCGCCTTAAACGAAAGAACTCTCTGTTATCTAATGCGAAAAAAAAAAGAGAAAAAAAATAATACAGGTAAAAACATTGATGACAATGACCAACGAACACGCACATACTTATATCGATAATGAAGATAGCAAATCCAATCTTTATAAATAGAAAATTTTTCAAAGATATTTTTGTATATCTATAACAAATAAACAGGTAGATTTTTATAATTTCAATAAAAGATAATTGTTATTTTTCTTCTTAACATAGAATATAAATAACCATGTTTACAAAATTCTTTCTTATATCTATTATACAATTATATATTATTCAAACATCATTTTGTATTTATTTTGGTCATGAAGTTGGTCGTACATCCATGGATTCAACACATTATGATCGTCAATCTATACAACAACAATGTTCAATTAATAATCAAAGAAAAGAATCATATCAAACTACTTATTTAGTTAATTCGAAATCTTTATCATCATCATCAACAACAAATAATAATAAGAGTAATTTAATATCATTTCATAGACAATTTATAATTAATTATGAAGAAGATAAACTTGTAACAAGAGCTTCTTCGGGTCCGATCAATGTTAATAATACAATTCCATTGATTATGGATCAAGCTTCAATTGATGTTATTGTTGATAAACAAGTAAGAATTGTTCTATATTTTATATTAGTTGTAGTTTTGTTTTATTATCTACGATTACACCTGCAGATGATTGAGTTTTGTATCTTTATCAAATTCGAAATAAATATTATATTTCTACTAGAAAAAAGACATCTGATATGATAGTTCAATGTTTGAGTGTATGATTTGCTCAACGCAAATGAGTTTTTTAGTTTCGGTTGAAGAAATATAAAATGATACATGTCATCTACTTTTTTTATATCGAATTTTATTTCAAAAGTAATACATCTTTAATCCTATTGTATATTTCGTTTGTGTGACCTAGACCGACGTACTGACAAGATTCTTTCTTAACCTACAACATTTAATATTTATTGAGTATATCTTAACTTAATCCAAGGTATTATTCGATTAACAAATGTAAGGTATGAATATGCATTAGAAGGTTTTTCTCACACACAGCATGGGTCATAAAAAAGTAACCCCTTATAAAAAAAAATTATTTATACACTGATAACATTCAATTTTCGAACTAACTAATATGTATTGTAATGAATAGAACTGAGAAAAAGTTGATTTCATTTTGAGAACATTCCATGATAGATGTAGACAAAAGAAAAACTTTATTAAGAATGAGCTCTTCTACGAGACAAAAGCATCGTTGCTACGTTTTTTTTTTCATCTTTTTGTAACAATTGAATAACACAATAATAAAATAATGCAATGATCGAAATTTTTCAGGCTAAATTTTCTAGACGAACTACTTATGTAAATTAAATTGAATAATTACTTGTTTGCTAATTTTAGTAAAATACTCATGCAATAGTAGTCTTGTATATTTTTTCATAAGGCAATGTATCGTATTAATTTGACCTATTTAATTACTTAAATTCATTTTAATTATGCTGGACTATATATTGGAAATAACGTATTACAATATGTATGAATTACTGATAAGTTTTGATTTCAAAGTGCAAGGCGAAGTTGAGTATAATCAAAAGTCATGCAATAACAATTACAATCCAACTTGAATAATTCTACGAAAATGAAAATTTCTTTAAAAATAAATTCCCATTTTTTCCTTAATGAATAACGGTTATTCAGAGATTTCTTTTTGTCGTTCAATGAAGGTATGCTGCTCTAGCATAGATTTTATATTTAGTGAATTTCCTTTTTCTCGTCAAGCTACATTGAAATGTTTTCAAAATAAAAGTATTACTGTCTGGTAAGAGTAAGTTTTTTATGGCTGCCGTATACATAAACTAACAAATAAAAGAATGTAGAGTCGAGTTCAAATGACTCGAAACTCTTATTCAGTTTATAGCATCTCACATAACTAATCGATATTTCTAATATTGTCTTTTTCATCAATAGCAAAAATAATGTCATAAAAAAAAACAATATTGATGAAATCTATTTTGAATACTTCAAGTTCGAAAGAATTTTTTCTTTTTTTAAATTTATATCTGATTTATTTCTATGATTTAGATCATTGATAATCTATCAGTATATGTTCAAGTTATCGAATGTATTGATTGTCCCTATAGAATAATTGCACAAGATTTATCATCAAATAAATCACTTTATTTAACTGTGAATACAAAATATAATTATCGTATTCGTATAGAATTAAGTAATACATCATTCTGTATCGAACCTCTAACTCTATATGAACATGGTCAATATGTTCTTAATGTACAAATGTCCTCATCTTTATCAACAAATTCAAGTTCAAATTCTGATCTTAGATGTTCATTAATCACACGACGTTCAGCAAATAATGTTTCTATACCATTAATTGTTGGTGGTGTTATATTATTAATATTATTCATAGCTTGTATAGTTGCACAAAAACTTAAACTTCGTGAACGTTTAATAGAACTTAAAAATCGTCTTTTTAAAAGTGTACCACCACAACAAGAAACAACACATTCATATGGTTTACAAGTACGTTCACCAGCAACAGCTACTGATTCAATTAATGCAACAGGTGGAAATTCAACTGTAACAAAACTACCACCGATAAATAAAATGTCAAATGTTATGGTACCTAGATCAAAACGTTTGCTAAGTCTTGATGCATTTCGTGGTTTTGGTAAACGAATAAAATTAATACTTTGCAAAAAGAAAACCTATACTGTTGTTTTTTTGTCGTATTTTTTTAGCTTTAATAGCAATGATATTTATTAATTATGGTGGTGGTGGATATGCACAATTTGAACATGCACCATGGCATGGCATAACATTTGCTGATGTTGTATTTCCATTTTTTATTTGGATGTTAGGAACATCATTAGTATTTTCACTAAAAAACTCTATTGAGAAAAGTGTTTCAAGACGATCATTACTTAAAAAAGTAGTCATAAGAACAATTAAGTTATTTGTAAGTTTTATGATTTAATGAAAAAGAAAACATAAAATATTTATTTCTATTAAGTTAATTGGTTTTATACTTAATACACGTTTTAAAGTTGATCTTACAGTAGTACGTATTCTTGGTGTTCTACAACGTTTTGCTATTGTTTATGGTGTTGTTGCAACCATTGAAGTACTTTGTTCACAATCAAAACAATATTCATCATCAACTAATAATCATACATCAACAACAACAGCAACAATTAAATTAGGAAAAATAAAACGTCTAACGACACTTTTCTGTGATATAATAAATTTTCCTCTTCAATGGTTAATTAATATTGCTTTAATAACTATTTGGATACTAATTATTTATCTAGTACCATTTGAAGATTGTCCAGCTGGATATTTAGGTCCTGGTGAGTGAATTCTTATCTTCTTTTTTTGCCATTACATGTAAAGTATTTTCTTAGGTGGATTACATGAAAACGGTAAATATGAAAATTGTACTGGTGGAATAACTGGTTATATTGATCGAGTTATTTTTACTGATAAACATTTATATAAATTTCCAACATGTCAAACTGTTTATGGTAGAAACAAAATTTTTTTGTTCGACGAATACATTAAGAATTGTTTTTTTTTTCATATAGGATGTAAAGAACCATTTGATCCAGAGAATTTATTTGGTGCTATTCCAACAATGTTTTTAGCATATTTGGGCATTCAAGCTGGACGAATTCTTGGTTTGGATTGATATTTATTATTAATTTGGTTTATTTTTTCGTGAAATACGATCTAGAAAGAGTGTTGACTTATAGAGGTAGAGATTTAGATCTTTCACAGATCGTAACAGACGTCTTAGTAACGTTCTTCCTCTTCGTCATAGATTTTGTTGACATGCAATCAAAAACCATATATGAATAACGTCTCGTTCAAATACATTCCTTATTGCATTTCTCGAGGATTAAGTAAAAACGATAGTGAAGAAATAAGTTCCGAAAATCGAATGACTAAAGCAATCTTCTTGTGATTAATAAGAGTAGCTACATCGTATTTCATATTTTAGTCCCGCAGGGATTGTATTAATAGCGTTTTTATTAAATGTTAATTTTCTCTAGTTATATATCAAACTCATACCGAGCGTCTTATTCGTCTTTTTACTTGGAGTATTTTAAGTACAGCTATTGGTGTTGGTTTAACTGCAGGTACACTTGATGGTGGACCAATGCCATTGAATAAAAATCTTTGGACGTTATCATTTTCATTTTTTACGGGTACGAAAGAAAAAAGGGTCTTTTCTTTTTGTAGTATTTGTTTATTTTTAGGTGGCTTGGCATTTGCTGGATTTTCTTTGATGTATATTGTTATTGATATGCTTCACTGGTGGAATGCAACACCGTTTCAATATCCAGGAAGCAATTCAATACTTATTTATGTATCACATCTTGTTTTTGCTACTTATTTTCCTGTGCAATGGGTTGTTGTTAATACACATGCAGCACATCTTGCTATGGGTTTATGGGGATGTATTTTTTGGATTATTGTTGCATATATTTTGTTTAAAAAACGAATATTTTTGGTGCTTTAAATCATAGAAAAAAAATAACGATTTAGAAAAGAATTTATTTATGAAAATAAAACTTTTCTTTGAATTTTTAATGTGTTCTGGTGCTTTTTTTGTCTTGTGACTTCGTCGTTTATTCTTTTTTCGTTTCATTTTAGAATCTCTGCTAGTGTTTCTTTTGGCTCCATTATCTTTATTTGAATAAATTGATGGAATAGTTAGTTACTTGATTGCATTTATAAGTTGTTTAATACTTTTAAACTCTCTTTAAGATTGATAAAACCTAATAACTAAACGATAAAAGCATTCAAATTCTTCAATTTACTTTAATCAATCGAACTATTCTTTTTTCTCAATGATTTAAGACTTGTTCAAGTTTTTATTTGTGAGAGAACTATCATATAGATACTATTTTAAACTAGCACTATTGAGCTCAACAATGAAGTACACTGCTCGGTGGAAGTATCTTCCTGTGAACTCAGCCTTTCTTGAGGCTACACAACTGAAATCTTCAGCATATACACCGCCATAGAAATGTAGGCTACCGAAACCAAGCCAGTTTCATTCGCTTGAGTCAAAGAAGACTTATGATTCATGATAATTCGTTTTGCTAAAAGTTGTGAAACTCAAGAAGGAAAGAAGCTTACGGCCTGGTTACTCTAACATTATGTAAAATATCCACAGCTTCCCAAGCGCTTGGATCAAACTCAATGAAATTTATAGTGTAAATAGCTGCATTAAATAATTACATAATGAAGAATTCGCTAAGTCATAAGCTCCTTTCTTTCTTGTTTTATAAATTTCATACTCAGAAAGGCTGTCATAGATCATAATCCTTCTTCAATTCAAATGAACGAAGTCAGACTAATTTCATTGGCCTATATTTCTAAGGTAGTATATTAAATAAAAAATTTCAGGTGTTCAGCCTTACGAATGGCTAAAGTCGTAGTGTAAGATATTTTTGACTAAAAGTGTATTTGTTTATTAAGTTCAATCATGTCAGTTCAAAACAGAATCCACTGACGGCTTTCTTATGAATAAAAAGTCTGACGAGTCTTCTAGCACTGAGAAAAAAACCAGCTCGATTAATAAAAACAGACTAGAGGTATTAAATATTTTTATCATCTAATTATTTATGAATCACCTTATATAATCTGAATTCAACGATACTATTCACTTATCAAACATTTAACACCTTCGTTCGTCTTCTAGGTAGATAAATCTTATTTTATTTGAAAATGAAGATTAAGATAAATATATAAAAATATAGCCGGATGTCTGATATTTCATAAAAGACATGAATTTTTTATTGATCTCCTCCTTGTTCGCCAAAATTTATTATGATTTCTATAATCACCTGCTCGCAAAATGTGATGCTCTAAGAAAAATCGAGAATATTTTTTTAATTTTTTCGATGTTTATACTTTCTTTTAAGATCACATATCTCGAAATTCCCTATAGACCCTTATTCTATATATTTAATTTTTATTTTATTTGAAAGATCATGCCAATATGAAGAACATGACAGAGTTTCTTTTTGAATTAAACTTTTTTACTATTATAGGAAAAAAGCACTTTAATAATTAGTGCATCATTTTTTGAGAGTTTCTTTTTTTCAGATATTGAACCTCTTCTCCTTTTTCTCTGATTAAGAAATAAGAATTTAAGAAACGGGTCTGCCATGCCCTGAATTCTGATAAACTCTTTCAGACATAAACAGATTAGATGTATAGGATGAGAGTTTGACAAAGAATTTTAGGTTCATAAGTCAGTTATTCTTTATCATTACTTTATAAATATTCTTCTCAAACGTTATGAAATAAAGCTACAAATTTCATCATAAACTCTCTACTATAGCTCTAATTTAGAAATGAACTGAATGATTAAGCTATATCAATACCTTAAACAATAGCATTTATTGAGCTACCTCGTCACTTGAGTTGTATGTATTTTTTAACAAATGTTTTCCTATATACGATCATACAAGAAAAGAGAGAGAAATCATCAAAGTCAGCATTACACAAGAAATCATAACAACTAAATGATAGAAAATGTAATGGTCATTTACTATTTCAGGTGTATTCTTCTGTCTTTAAATAATTACACTAAAAAACTCAACACTTTTCTTTTATTTTCACTCCTACTTGTTAACAATGATATTTAACTCAACGAACATTTATCTATTCAAAACACAATTGTATACACGCATAAAAGTTATTTTATAATTATATTTGATATGATTCTTTTTTTTTTATTTTTTAAATATTACAGAGTTACAACAAATTGACAAAAAGCTAATATTAAAATAAAAGATAAAATAACATTTGACATTTTTATTTCATTGACCAATTTAATGTTGAAACTGTTGTTTCATTCCATGCTATTCGAACCGTTTTCTCTCCGTAGCGCTAAAAAAAAATAAATAATCATTACAAAGAAAAATAAAAAAATACCACTTCTCCGAACAAAAATTCATAACATACTCGATCAGTATAAACAATAAGTTCATCAAGTTTATATGATAAACGTTTAACTGGATCAATCATTTCAGAAATCATAATTACATTTGTTTTTGTATTAAATGTCACTGTATTTACACTTTCTTCGTGATTTCCTAAGATAATTTAATTAATAAAAATAAATAAAATCTTAAATAAAAACCTACCACACCATCGTTGAAGTATTTTAAAAAAATTAATAAATACATCTTCATTATCATGATCAACTGTATGAACATAATCTCGAACAGCTCGAAAATTATCATTAATTATTGATACAAACATATTAATACAAATAAAAACGACAAATAAAATAAACAATGTAAAATAAATTGGACCTAAAAATGGTGCTGCTTGTGTAATTTCAGTTGTATCAAATTTTAATAATAGCATTTCAAATAACATTTGTGCCGTACTTAATAAACTTGAACATTCCCAAATGAATGAAAGAAATTGTAAATAAAATAATGCAACAAATGCCATAAATATAATTGAAAACATAAATGAGAATGATATTAATTCTCGAGCTGAACGTCCTAATGTATTAGATAAAAGTGCTAAACGTCGATTATAACGGCATAAACGTAAAAGTTTCAATGTACCAAAAAAACAACAAAAACCAAGTAAAAAGGAAAATATATCATTTATATATGCTAGTAATTGAAAATTTAAATAAACATCACCATTTGTTTCACGAAACAAACGTGTTATGCGTTTTGCTTCATTTACTCGCCATATATGTATACCAACATTTGTCCATGAACAAGCAATAATACCAACTTCAACGTATGACCATACTTGACAAAAATATAATTTTTTAAGACGAATAAATGATCGGACTTCTATGAACATGAAGTAAAGAATAAATGTTAAATAAATAAAAGCACAAGCTATTTGAAAAATAGATGTAAAAGCTAAACAGAAAAAAAAAAAAAACTAACAATAATATTAATTTTTAAATAAAATTAAAATTACTTACCATCAACACTTAATGGATCAAAGCGTGCACTAAAAAAAATACCACTACTGGATAATATTTCAATAATCATAACTGCGGATGTAAATATTCGTATACTTGGATTATATAAATTCATTTGAATAATAACAGCTCTTGTTTGTTTATCAATCCATTCTAATTGATGAAGTTCAATAAGATCATCAGACATTTCAGATAATGAACCACGAAATTCATATACATAACCACCACTTCTATATGTACCATGATCTCCTATATAAATATATGTATCAAGTTGTTTACTTGTTTGATAAATAAATGCTCGATTTATTAATGTACTATAATTTTGTGTTGTATTTGTAGTCCATCCAGGTGAAAATGAGCCTTTTTCTTCAATCGATGCACCATAGTCATCGTAACAGTGCTTTATCAAACCTCGAATAGACGATTTTATTCGGCAAGTATCTAAAAAACAAAAAGAATTAAGATTTTCAGATGTAATAGACAATATCAATTAAGATTCAATAAGTTTAATTTATCAAAAAAAAATGTTTTGTGCTATTATATTTTATTTTAAACTTATTTCGTTATTTTACATATTCAAATCCTTAAAACTATCAACAGTTTATTTATCTATCTGATTAAGATTAGCAAATAACTACACCTATATATAGGGCACTAGAAAAATGTTTTCATTCGGTTGTCCGAAAAATCCTTAATTTGACTGCAATTATCCTTTTATAATGCTTAGATATATTTAGGATTATGTGCATAATCTCAGCTCTCCAAGTGTGATGGATTGTCGTTTTTTTTTTAAATACAATCTAAAAGAAGTGTTGAAATATAGAGGTAAAAAGTTGAATTCATTGCTCCTTCCCTCCTATAGACCGTGACAGACGTTGTTGATATACAGTGAAAGATCGTATGTTTATAACATCTCGTTATAATATATAAATGACTTCCATACTGCATTTCTAGAGGATTAGGCAAAATGATGGTTCAGGAATATGTCCTAAAATATATAAGATAAAATAATCTCCGTATGATTAGCAACAGCAGCTACGTTGTATGTCACATTTTCGAATTCGACTTCTTTTATTGCAAAGCAGACTTCGTTAGGTCTTAGATTAGTCATTCACTAATAACAAACGTGAGTTTGGTTTAGAAAGCTGTGAGATAGAAGAAATTTATCCTACATTAGATTTTGCCATTAATATGAAAGCCATATTTATATGTAAGATCATAGTACGAAGTTGTTTCGATGAGAGTTTAAAAGTCATCTCGAAAATGGTGTGTGACTCATATGAAAGAAACCAAAAAAAAACTTGTTAGTGCAGTCCCGAGGAGATTGAGATATGGAAGTTACATGTATTCTCTAGCATCGTCATATCAATATAAAATACGTAACGTGAAAAATGAGGTCTAGGACAGTTGCTCTTGGATACTTGCTCGCTAGGATACATTCTCGCGTCAGTGAGATACAGGTGTGGGAGGTTGATGTGGGTTGCTGATCTAGGGTATGTGTTTGTGTTTGAATGAAGAGAAAATCTACACCTGCACTGACAAACTACAAACACACCCTTACGGCATACCTATACCCAACGAACAATTGTCCTAACGAGCGATTGTCTGACTTCTGGAAAATCTGTCACAGGCTATATTTGTTTTCTAAGATAATTGATCGTCAGAGAAATAATTTCTCTTCTTTATTTCTGCATTTCTAACAGAAATTTTTTTTTGGTGCTCTATTTTTGTTTGCCTTGTGGTTATTTTCTCGTTATTGTTCTTCTTTGTGTTTCGTTCTTTTTAAAATCAAACATTATTATTATTTCAAACATTGATTTAACTTCAAATAAGCCTTTGTATATATCTATTGTATCTACAGCAGATCTAAATGCACTATTATATAATCTCGATAAGTTCACAAACAGTGATATCATTTACATCCCAAAGTTATAACTTCATCAGTTCACGTTTTTTACGTTTACCATATGACGGCTATGTTAGATCGATGCATCATTGCCCTTCATCCTTGAAATCTTGAGTAGAAACTTTCATGTGCGTAAAAACCAAAAACTGCATTATTTAAAATATTTGCAAATGTATTCAGGCCAAAATCGAATTTCAAGGAAGACATTTGAATGTTTTAGAACAATCTAAGCCTTATCATTAATGCCGTAAGGTGCCTTTCTCGGTTGCTAAGAAATTCTGAAAAAGGAATCAGACACCCGTTGTCCTCGATTGCTATGAAAACATAATCAATGACCAATCGTGCCGCTAAGATCCGTAATAGGAAGAGAGACGAAGAAGCCGTGAAACTTTGACTGAAAACTTACACCCACTGTTATCTTTGAAAATGTATATGGGTTCGACAAAGTACCAGAATACATCAGGCGTAAAAGCATAAAAGTTTCGCTCACAATGGTAAATATATCCATGAATCATAATGTAATCATTGCACTTATATTATGGCTTTAGGGAAAACCAGACGAAAAAGTTTCTCTAGTGCGTCTTGTACGTTAACACAGATCAATTATTAATCGCAGCAGACTTATTTCTTATTCAAAGTTTGTCGGTCTTATAACTATTCTTTGTGAGTCAAGCTTAAAATGAGTTGAACACTGAAATTTTAATTGTCTTGAATTCATCATTATGACACTTTTCAGTTAAAAAGCTTGTGGGAATTTCAATAATTACATTTCACAAGAGAAATAGAATTGATTTAAACATTCTTTCTTTTTTCAAAATTTAAGAAAAACTTATTCAAAGTATTTTGATCATTGTTATGAATCAGAAAATTCTATTCATGTTCTTCATATCTCTGCAGAATAGAATAAAAAACTAACCTGGTTTAATTCTTAATTGTCTCATTGTTGCCCATCCAATTAATCGATTTGTTTTATCATTAAGAAATCCTTTGGAATCATTAATTGGTTGTCCATTATACCAATTTCCAACGGCAAGATTCATTATAAAACTTTCTTTTAACCATCTCCAATATTCGTTAATAGTTATGATCTTTAATAATATGATTTAAAACAAAAATAAATTACATTCAAAAACGAAAATACAATAAATTCTTACTTGCGAATAATTATGAGAATTATTGTGTGTCATCAAAAATAATCGATCTAAATGTTGAACTTGATGAAATTCATCGGAACTGTGATTTGAATAACTAATCACATAGATAACACAAACAAAACTTGAGTACAATAATAATTCCAAAGTAAATCTGCACAGTTTTCTTTTTAAAATAATCATAGCATAAAAAAATAAGATGATAAAGTACGGCAACAAACAATAACTAAACTTTCACTAAAAGTTATTAATTTAACAAGCAACCATTACTTAAATAAAAATACAAAAAAAATAATAAGAAAAAAACTCATACAACAATGAATAGGAAAAATATAAACCATATGTTTGATGAGAAAAATATGTTAGGTTTGAAAGTGTTTTTTTTCTTTTCAGTAGAATAAATATTCTTTTTTTTAAGTAGAAGACAAAAAAAAACCAATGTCATCTATAAAATCGGTTAACGCATTGTTGACTTATTTCATTTTTCAGAATACTTTGTGGAATATTTTTTGTAATCATGATATCGTTTACAATGAAATAAAAAAGTACAAGAAATAATTCAGAAAGAGTAACATCAGAGACATAAAGTTTGTTATCATGATGCATAATAGTAGGTTGAAAAGAAGAAAAAAAAACATCAAATAGAACTGATCTCGATTTATCAATGTATATATATGATAATAGTCTGAACAGAACAAACTTCAATTCTTCAAATTAAAGTATTTTTCATGAGTCACGCTTCATTAAGTTTTTAAACAAAGAGAAAAAAAAGAAAATTATGAAAAAATTTAATAATAGTTCGAGTTATTCCAATACGAAAATTTGAGTTTTCAGGGTATATTGAAAAATGTTTTATAAGGATAGTATACAAAAACCTTTTTCAAAAAGCGTAACTAATTTTACTAAGCGATAACAAATCATTTCTAATTAACTTCAGAAGTTTACAACCGCCCTCGCACTTCCGTGATTTCTGCTTTAAGGAAATATACCTTTATGATTAGCATTGACTTCCTTCACAATGGTAAGTCATCTGTTTTTTTTTTCATTGAATATTATGAATCAAAAACAAATACTAATAATGAGCAATTTAATAACTCAATATTTCGTCTTCATATCATTATGAAATTTACTCGAAATTGTTTTTGTTTTTATGAATTAAATAACATATTGAGTTTTATGTGTTCACAGAAAGCAAATGTTGTTAATTTAGAAGAAGAACGAAGTTTAAAATATATAACATGATTTTCTATAATATACGGAAGAGAGACTGAATCGGTTTTGATTCGATTCCAAAAAAAAACACAAATCAATCCTATCTCTAATACAGAATATTTCTATTAAATCATTAGAAACATGATGTTAGAAGATGAAATTGGTGCGTTGGCTAAAAAAATCTAATTTACATAGTGCAACAAATATTTCATCATCTTACTTAAATTCTGTTTGTAAGATATCGTTATTCAAAAACTGAATAATACGTAAAATTAAAAGGAATAATATTTGAATCATGTTTATTAGAATATGATCTTAATAAAATAGAGACGCATCAATTCCTGGAGCATGATGTCAAAGATCACATTTTTTTCCTTATTAAGAAAGTAGTTTCTGTGAATTGTTTATATTATCCATAACTGTTCTGTCTAAAGTTGTAGCCAAAATTCATACAATATAAAACAACCGTTTCAGAATCGGTCATAAATTTCTCATTTTTCAGTTTTTTTTTTAGACCAGTATATGTTTTTGTAAACAGTAATAAACCAACTCCTTAAGTTTCTAATTGGAGTTTAGAATATTTGTAGTATTGAGAATTACTGGATTTTCAGCGATTCTTCATGCTAGTTGTAATCAATTTTGAACGCTTCTTCCAAACTATTCTTAGATTTTGTTTAATTCAAAGCACAGGTCTCGAAATCAGTTGAAATTGATCATAGAAAAGAACTAAAACATGCAAATTTTCGACCAATACCGAAACTTTTGTTTTCTATATTATTAATTTTGGCTACAGTTTCAAATAGAGCAATTATGTTTGATATAAAAAATTCACAGGAACTACTTTCTTAATCAGAAAAAAAATTGTCATCTTTGACATAATGTTTTAGAAATTGGTATGTTCCTCAAATGAAATAAACAAATTTTGAAATATTTGATTAATTCAAATATTTTCTTTTCAAAAGTTATTATAATGATATGCCAAGAAAATTTAAAATTTTGTTCAACTTTCTAGGCAATTACAAGCATGCACACTTTATCCGATAAAGTCCAAAGTTTTTTAGACTGATTACATTAAAAAATAATAATTAACTTAATTGATTTTATTTCAGCCGTAATAAATTTGAAATTCTTTGATACAGAAAATAAATTAAAAAAAAAGACTTGCGTCAATGTATAAAAGTGCCATATAAGTCTCTTTTCTTTTTAAATCATAGTCTAATAAGACCTTTAAAAAGTTATACGCCCTCGGCGGCAATATTGTTTGATTCTATTAAAACCTCAAGCATAATTATCATATTGCATGATTTCAAAAATTAATCAACTAATTCATCTTTAAATATGTCTTCCACTGACGCAAGTCAAAAATAAAAAAGGCAATTTACATATTTCTTTGAAAAAAGGCCATATGAATTAAAATAAATTGAATTTTCAAGTATGTTACATTAATAAAACAATACGAAATGCTTTTCACTGTATATAAACAAATACTTCGTTTCATAATATACAATAATACGATGAATTTTGATAGTAGATAAAAAGCATGTCTTTTCATACGATATCATATCTCATACAGATCTATTCTTTCTCTAAAGAAAGAAAAAAGAAACCATATAAAATAATAATCAGCAGAAGTCGACCTCTTTCGTCTCGTACTACTTCAGCCGCAAAAATACGACCAATGTAAGCAACAAGTATTTTTCTGTTCTTCTTTTTTCTCGTATAAACTATTAGAAGATATGTACTATGAGGACCTTCTCGAGAATAACGTATTTATAAATAGAGAGATCAGCTTGTGGACGCATGCTAGAATAATCATAGATAGAAGAAAAAAAAATAACAGAGTTTCAATCGAAAGAAAAAACATAAGGAGAATATATGATAGCATTTTTAGAAAATAGCTTTAGTGAACAAAGGTTAATCAGGTTGAAATTTGTTTTCATATTTTAATTTTTTTTAGAGAATATAATGTCAACCACAGACAAAGTCGACGAGGTCGTACCTCCTCAATTAGATAATTTATTGGAACTTGATCCATATATTAAGCCATATGCAGGTGAAATTAAACGACGGTAAGAATTCTAATTATAATAAAAAAGAAATAATTAATTTCCATTTTTTTTTCTCCTTTTTGTTAGTTATAAAGTATATAGGGCAATCCTTGATCAATTAAATACTGAAGAAAATGGTATTGATGTATTTACATCTGCTTATACACATTTTGGTATTCATGTTGATTGTCGTACAAATGAAATTAAAATTAAAGAATGGGCACCTGGTGCACGTGCTCTGTATATTCGTGGAGATTTTAGTTTGTATTATAAATTAAAAATCTTGTTTTTTTTTAAAACTTTTCTCATATAGATAATTGGCAAGAAAAACAATATCCATTAACACGTGATGAATGGGGTAAATGGACAATAACAATTCCACCTTTAGCTGATGGATCTCCAGCTATTAAACATGGACAAGCTATTAAAGTAAAATTTAAAGAAAAAAAAAAAAATTTTTTTTCTATATTAATTTTTATCTTATATTTATTTTTTTTGTTTTAGTTACTTGTTGAAACACCTAGTGGTGAATTAGTTGATCGTCTTTGTCCATGGTCACGTTATGTACAACAAACTGAGAACTCGAAAGTATTTCATGGTGTTTTTTATAATCCACCAGATGATCAAATTTATAAATTTAAACATCCTCAACCAAAAAAAAAAGATCGTTTAAAAATTTATGAAGCACATGTTGGTATTAGTTCATGGAAAGGTGAAGTTGCAACGTATGAAAATTTTCGTGTTAATGTTCTTCCTCGAATTGTAAGACAAGGTTATAATACAGTTCAATTAATGGCCGTTATGGAACATGCTTATTATGCTAGTTTTGGTTATCAAGTAACAAGTTTTTTTGCTGCATCAAGGTTTGTTTATTAAGAGAAAAAATTTCCTTATGAATTTGTATTTTTTTTTAATATTAATTTTAGCCGATATGGTACACCTGAAGAATTAAAAGCATTAGTTGATGAAGCACATAGATATGGTTTAACAGTTTTATTAGATATTGTTCATAGTCATGCTTGTAAAAATACATACGATGGTATCAATATGTTTGATGGTACAAGAGGTTGTTTTTTTCATGATAATGCACGTGGTTATCATGATCTTTGGGATAGTCGATGTTTTAATTATATGGAGTAAGTTTTGTTCAAATGAATTATGATATATTGTTATAAATTGATAAAGTTAGATATCGAGAAATATATAAAAGGTCATCTTGTTTATATTTTTTTATAAAATGTCATACCATTTATACATTAGCAATTATTTGTAGTGCTTTTTTTCTTCATATTTGAGAATTTTGTAAAATTCTTTTTATTATTATTTAGACGTGAAGTAATGAGATTTCTTCTTTCAAATATTCGATATTGGTTAGAAGAATTTAAATTCGATGGATTTCGATTTGATGGTGTTTCATCAATGCTTTATCATTCACATGGCATTGGTAAATTCGATATGATTTTATTTAAATATTTTTCAATTTCTTTTTTATTTTCTAGCACATGGCTTTTCTGGTTCATATAATGAATATTTTGGTTTAGCAACCGATACTGATTCATTTAATTATCTTCAATTAGCTAATTATGTTTCACAAACATTATATCCTGAATCCATTACAATCGCCGAAGTATATAACACAAAAAACAAAAAAATAAGCTTTATTAATAAATATCTCACTATTGATTTATTCTAGGAAGTTTCAGGAATGCCAGCATTATGTCGTCCAATAAATGAAGGTGGTGCCGGATTTGATTATCGTTTAGCTATGGCTATTCC